AGTCCTTTTGAAATCCGTGGGGAAAAATTAGTTGGAATAGTTTTGCAACAATAAATCCAAAGACAATCTGATGAAGGACCAATCTCTTCCTTGCTTTTTTGAAACAAAACAAAACAAAAACCCATTACTTAATGCAATATGCAGCATGAAATAGAATTTGGACTTGAACTACAATTCAACAAACCTTTACTTAATTGCAACTATTTGTTCTAGGCTGGGAGAGGCAATGATCTTTAAGATACAATTCCTGCTCTCAAAGAGCTCATTTCCTTAACAAAGAAATTAGAGCTGTGTGATAAATACTAGAAGGGTGTAGGAGGAACAGAGAAGGTACAGAGGAGATAGTAATGAACTCTGGAGTGTTCAGGAAGTCTTTCTGCAGGAAAGCAGTGCCTGTGGTTTTGCAGGATGAATAGGAGTTAGTCTTGCAAACAAGATGGGAAAAGGATGTCTGTCCAGACAGAGGGAATACTAGAGCTAAAGGCACAGACAACCAATCTGTATGGGGAAGGCAGTGAGTTGATAAGATAAATTGGGAGAAAATGGTGGGGTCAAGAGCCTAATGGTGTTAATGAAGTCTTTTTTTAAAAAATTGAGATACTGGGGTGCCTGGGTGGCTCAGATGGTTAAGCGTCTGCCTTTGGTTCAGGTCATGATCCCAGGGTCCTGGGATCCAGCCCCACATCGGGCTCCCTGCTCAGAGGGGAGCCTGCTTCTCCCTCTACCTGCTGCTCCCCCTGCTTGTGCTCTCTCTGACAAATAAATAAATAAAATATTTTTTAAAATACAATGAACTGAATGTAGGGGGACAGAGAAAGGGGGAGAGAGAATATTTAATGACTTGGCATTTCCAGGCGAGGTGATATGAAGACTAAGGAAGACAAGAAGATGAGCAGGTTTGGGGAGACATGTTGAGTTGGAGACACTTGCTAGATATTGCTATCAATGTCAGTGTCCCACCGCGGGCAGTTAAGGCTCCAGGTGTGGAGCTCACAGGTGGAGACTGGAGGCAGAAATTGGGCCATTATAGAGAATGATACTAGGAGGAAGTTGCTGAAAATCACCAAGGGAGAGGAGATAAAGAGGGAGAAAATATGAAATATGAGACCTAGAGTACACTTGCAAGGGGCTGGTGAGAGAAGAGGAGCCGGGGAAGGAAGATGGAATCAGTGTGGTAGAAGGAAAACTAGAAGAGAGAGTGCCCAGAAGTGATAGAAGGAGCAGATTTGGGCAATGAGGACCAACGCGCTCACTCAAGACCCTCAAACAGGTAGAGTGCGATGAAGACTGACATCATTCTGGAAGGAGGGCGTCTATCATTGTCAAACTTTCTGGAGTGGTGAAGGTGGAAGCTGGGCTGCCAGGGCCTGAGTCCTAGAGGGCAACTCTAGACTGCACTTTCCCGGGGCGGGGGGGGGCGGGGGGGGTGGGGACGACAAACCAAGACTGGGAGGAGAAGAGCCTACAGCAGCCCCACCGGGAGGCAGTTTCCGTGCTTTCACTTTCTTCGCGCTGTTTACTTTACTGAGTCTGGTGTGAACACAGGATTAGCAAACAAGAGACAAAGAACCTGAATTTACCCCCGGTCCCCAGGGTCTCACTTTCACAGTCATGGGAGCAGAACTTGAAGTGCTTTTCCTTGTCCAGAGTGATGGCGTTTTAAGCGATTGTGTTGAGGGTATGTTTTCCAGCCCCGAATCTTGTATTCGGCTGTAACTTGGTCATGGCCCAGTTCGGACATCACAGTGTCTAAAACTTCTGTACATCAGTGTTGTAGGCCTCTATGGCTTAGCTGTTATAAACAGTGAAAAAAATCAATTAAAAGAAGTTTACTTAGTGAATATTCATGATTCTGTGTGTAAGACCAAAGATGGATGAATCTTGGGCCCCGAGAGCAATTGGGTTATTTGCCTTATTATTGAGTTGTAAAAGTTCTTTTTGTATCCTAGAGAGCAGGCCTCCCAAGACACATGATCTCCAAATATTTTCTCCCATTCCATGGGTTGTCTTCCCACTGTAATCGTGTTCTTTGAAGCACATTGATAAGACCCAATTGATCTATTTGTTGGCATACCATTGTTCACAGCATTCCCTGTAAGACTGGTAGTAACGTCCTGATTTTAGTAACTTTCTTCTTCTTTCTCTTTGTCAGTCAAACTAAAGGTTTGTAAATTTTATGATGTTTTCATCAATTGAAAAATGGGCAAAGGATTTGGATATACATTTCTCCAAAGAATATGTACAAAAGCCAAGACACACATGAAGAGATGCTCAACATCACTAATCATCAAGGAAATGCAAATCAAAACCACAATGAGAGGTCCCTTCACACCCACTAGGATGGGTAGAATAAAAAAGAAATAACACATGTTGGTAAGGATGTAGAGAAATTGAAACCCCTGTGGTTGCTCACAGAAATGTAAAATGGCATGAAATCTCTGAAAAACAGCTTAATAGTCCCTCAAAAAGTTAAACATAGGCCTTGCAGATGCTGCCACCCCAGAGCCACCTACACTGTCCACCCACGGTCAACTCTGCCATGTTCTTCCACGTCATTGTGGATAGTGAGCCTTTGGTCCGCATCTCCTTCAAGCTACTTGCAGACAAAATTCCAAAGACAGCAGAGAACTTTTGTGCTCTGAACACTGGGGAGAAAGGATTTGGCTATAAAGCTCCCTGCTTTCCCAGGATTATTTCAGGATTTGTGTGCCAAGGTGGTGACTTCACACACCATATGGCACCAGTGACAAGTCCATCTATGGGGAAAAATCTGATGATGAGAATTTCATCCTGAAGCACACGGGTCTGGCATCTTGTCCATAGCAAATGCTAGACCTAATGCAAATGCTTCCCAGTTTTTCATCTGCACTGCCAACACTGAATGGTTGGATGGCAAGCCTGTGGTCTTTGGCAAAGTGGGAGAGGGCATGAATATTGCTGAAGCATGGATTGGTTTGGGTCCAGGAATGGCAAGACCAGCAAGAAGATCACCATTGCTGACTGTGGACAAATCCAATAAACTTGACTTGTGTTTTATCTTAACTACCAGACCGTTCCTTCTGTAGCTCAGGAGAGCACCCCTGCACCCCCATCTGCTCCAAATATCCTATAATCTTTGTGCCCTCGCTGCAGTTCTTTGGGCTCCATATTTTCCTTCCTCCCCTCACGTCTAGCTGGACTGCAGAGTAAAGTTCATGATTATGAAATAAAAACTAAACAAACAAAAAAATTAGAGAGTAATTGTGAGACCCAGAAATTCTATTTCTAGATACATACCTAAGAGAATTGAAAACATGTGTCACACAAGAGGGTGTAGCTCATAGCAGCATTATTTATAATAGCCAAAAGGTGAAACAACCCAGATGTCCATCAACTGATTAACAAAATGTGTGTGTGTGTGTGTGTGTATATCTCCATACAACGGGATATTATTCAACCATAAAAAGGACTAAAGTAGTATTACATGCTACAAAATGGATAAAACTTGAAGACATTATGCTCAGTGAAAGAAGCTAGATGCAAAAAGCCACATATTCTATGATGCTCATTTATATAAAGTGTCCAGAATAGGCAAATCAACAGAGACAGAAAGTGGCTGAGTGTTTTCCAGAAGGAGGCCAGCAGGAGAGAAAAAGCGGCGGGGGGAGGGGGGGGACTACTGATGAGTAGAGCCTGCCTTTTGGGGTATTGAAAATGTTCTGGAATGAGATGGTGGTGATGGTTTTACAACTTTGTGAATGTACCAAAAGCCCTTTTTTAAATGATACTTTAAAAGGGCAAATTTTGTGGTTGTGAACTGTATCTCAATTTTAAATTAATTAATTTTATTTTTTTAAAGATTTTATTTATTTATTTATTTGACAGAGCACAAGCAGGGGGGACAGTAGAAGGAGAGGGAGAAGCAGATAGCAGATAAGCCGAGATAGCAAAATCAGACCTGAAAGACAGCAAAGGTAGTGGCCAGGCATGTGGTTTCATCGTAAATTGCCTGGGACCATTTCTTACTAGCTATGTGACCTTGGGCTATTTACTTAAAGGTTTCCCCATCTGATAATGGAGTATGTTAACTCATAAGGTGGTTGTAAGGTCCAAACAGCATGCTTCATAAAGACCCAGGCGCATACATGTGCATTATTAGTATTATGATTATTTATCCCAGCTCCACTTACTAGCTTTGTGCCCTTGGCAAATAACCTCGCTGAGCTTCAGCTTCCTCAAATGTAAAATGGGAAATCATAATATCCATCTTACAAGAGTGGCTTTACATAAAGAAATGGTATGGAAAATTCGTAGCACAGTAATTGACCTGTGTACATGATCAATAAATGGTTATTCTCCAAATTAGTTTAATTCAAGTTGGGATGAATCATTCTGAGCTCCCATAGGCACATTCTCTATTTAACCATCTGCCAGATCTCAGAATCTTCTCCTGCCCCCACCCTCCACAGGCCCTAGGCTGAGGGCCAGATGACAGGAGATGGAAGGCTCATCTCTGTCTTTATTTCAACATGTTATTCTTCAACAGCAGGACTTGTTTTTATATCCCTACTGAGTTCACATGGGTAGGTTTGGGCGGCAGCAATTATTCTCCGTATTACTTTATAGATGAAAAAATAAGACTTGGCTCTGACATATTGGATTTTCTCTAGCAAGTCCCCTATAGAGGTAAAAAGCTCTTCATTCTAATCAGAGCCAGAGAAAATGCTCCTGGCTTTATGCTTCTTTAAATCCTCTCTTTCAAAACACCTGGAAGACCTGCGATGGGCCAGGTGTGGCACCAAATTCAAAGTAGAACCCATAGCAGAGGTTTGAAGCAGAGATTGCTGCAGGATCCCAGGCAGGGGCCTGGGGGATGGGGAGAGGCAGGTTCTGACAGGTGGAGATGGGGGCAGACAGCATATGATGTTTCATGGAAGAGGTGCTATTTTGGCTGGGCAGTGAAGGTTAAGGAGGAGTTGATAAGTGGGAAATGGAAAAGGTGTTCAGGAAGAGAGAACAGCATGGACAGTGCGGACAAGGTGGGAAACTGCTTGGGATGGTATGTTTGGGAATGGCCGGTGGGCAGAGCGGAAGAAGATAGAGATAGAAAGTTAGCCTGGGCAGCACTGTAAGCCAGATAAAAGAGCTGGGATTTTATCCTGTTAGCTGTCATAGGATGACCACATATTTCATCACCCAAATAGGTCACTTATGAGAGCAAAAGGGTATGCTAACCAGATAAAATCACAGAAGACCCAACACAAAACTGCCCTGTTTCAGGCTAACAGGGACATCCAGTCACCCCAGCTTTGGAAAACCTGGAAGGCCTGATACTGTTCAGATTTGTGTATATCAGAGGGGATTCTGGCAGCAATGCATATTGGAAAGGAGAAGGGGTGTCTACAGTCAGGCAGATAGCTAGGTAGGCAGAGGGGATGGAGAGGAGAGATGTCTAGGAATAGGTTTTCTCAGAAATAAAATGGACTGCACGCCTGGGTGGCTCAATCGGTTAAGCGTCTGCCTTTGGCTCAGGTCTATAGGCTTATTCTGTATAGCCAGCGTCATCAGATACTCTTCTCTTGTTCGTCAAAACGTAGTCGGCAGACCAGCAGCATCAATATCACCTGGAAGTACATTAGAAAGAATCTTGGGGGCACCTGGGTGGCTCAGTTGGTTAAGTGGCAGACTCCTGATTTCCACAGGTCGTGATCTCAGGGCCCTGGGATCAAGTCCTGCGTCTGGGCTCTGTGCTCAGTGTGGTTCTGCTTCAGGACTCTCCCTTTCCCTCTGCCCTTCCCCTCACCCCCTGCTTGCTCTCTCTAAATAAATAAATAAATCTTTAATAAAAAAGAGAGAAAGAAAGAAAGAACCTTGAACCCCACTCCAGACGTAGGGAATCAGAATCTGCATTATAACAAGATCCCCAGGTCCTGGTCTACACCAGTGGGTCTCAGCCTTGTCTGCATGCTGGACTCCCTGGGGAGCTTTAAAGAGTCCTGTTGCCCAGTCTCCACCAACAGGGATTCTGTTTAATTGTCTGGGTGTGGTGTGAGTATTGGGCTTTTAAAAAGCTTCCCAGGGGATTCTGATGTGATGCTGGGTCTGAGAATCACTCTTTTAAGCAAATACAGCTGTTGGTTCCTTCCTTCGCTCATTTCTCTTATGTGCAACAGACCTTGTTAAATACAGGCACAGCTTGCTGGGGAGATGGGCAAACAAACAGTTACAATATAGTAGAATAAGCACTATGAAAATCATTATTCCAGGACCAGGAGAGATCCAGAGGAGGGCCCAACCTCTAAGCCTGCCTGAAGGAATCAAGGCAAATCGCTCACAGGATACCACATTAGTCTCAAGGACAAATAGGAGCTCTGGGATTTGTTGAGGGTAGTGGTGAGCTGGTGTGAGGATGAAGGAAGAATTCTGTGTTTACTATGAAAGTGAGATTTATAGAATTTTAAGCTATAGTAGATTATAGAGATCATTGAATAAATCCAGTGGTTTTCTAACTTTTCTTTTTTTATAAGATTTTATTTATTTATTTGAGAGAGAGAGAATGAGAGATAGAGAGCACAAGAGGGAAGAGGGTCAGAGGGAGAAGCAGACTCCCTGCTGAGCAGGGAGCCTGATGTGGGACTTGATCCCGGGACTCCAGGATCATGACCTGAGCCGAAGGCAGTCGCTTAACCAACTGAGCCACCCAGGCACCCGGTTTTCTAACTTTTCTGACTATGGCTCAATTTAGGAGAAACATTTTATGTCTCAGCCCAAATATATATATAAAGTTTCCTGAAACAGTATTTACCTTCACTAAGTGTGATGCACTTTGATATTTTCTAGTCTTTCAATACACTTGTCTCTCATTAGACAAAATATATATATATGTATATATGTGCATATATATATATATATGACTAACTGAATTGGTCTCCTGCCCCACTAATGGGTTATAACCTACAGTTTGAAAGACCTGACTTAATCGCTTCAATTTTTCCTTGAGCAAACAATGAGCCACAATATCTAGACAACTTAGCCTGGAAGAGTAAAGAAAAAATGTATTCAAATTCCAGTGTGAAGGGCTAGTGTTAGAAATAAAGAAAGCCTTCTATATGGTATTGGTTGTTGGAGATTTCAGAAGGACTTGCCTTCCCTGGAAGTCCTACCCATTTTCTGGGAGGTTAAAGCAGCCCTGTAGAGAAGGCAAATGTAGAGTCCAAGTACTTTCTAGCCCCCACTAAAATATTCTGGATGTATGAATATTACTGAGCAAGAATTCTCAGTTTAGCTAGGTTTGGGGAGGAGTCAATGCAACCTGAAAGGGGGGAGAGAGCCCCTATTAGAACCACCGGGGGCCTTTGTCTAATATACATGACTCCCAGCCATTCTGATATGCCCACTGCCCATTTGGGGCCAAAAGTCCCCCTGACAATAAGCCCTATGGAGGCTCTGGTTGATAGAGGTATATGATTCACTCCAGTGCATTGGGGCAGGCAGGAAAAAACAAAGGTAAGAACCATGGATCTCTTGAGCAATGGTTCCCCATCTTTTAGGTTTCATTGGCCAATAAAAATTCAAACTGACAGGCGCCTGCGTGGCTTAGTCATTAAGCATCTGCCTTCGGCTCAGGTCATGGTCCCAGGGTCCTGGGATCAAGCCCCACATTGGGCTCCCTGCTCGGTGGGAAGACTGCTTCTCCCTCTCCCACTCCCCTGCTTGTGTTCCCTCTCTCGCTGTGTCTCTCTTTGTCAAATAAATAAATAAAATCTTTAAAAAAAAAAATTCAACCTGAGTTTAAGAATCAATATCGGAGTGTAAATGTTTATTGTATCAAGTAAGGAAGTAAAAAAAACCCACCCAAATAAACAAGAAAAACAAATACCCCCAAACTACTGACATCTACCACTATCTTAAGGCTAGAAAGGACATAATCTTTAAAGGAAAGTCTTGGAAATTGAATCCATTTAGCTTTCAGAAACTTTAAAGAAATTTTTAATTATGGTAAATATACATAACATAAAATGTATCACTTAGCCATTTTTAATATATACTATATAGCCTTAACCGCATTCCGTTGTTGTGCATCTCTAGAACTCTTCATCTTGCAAAACTGAAACTCTATCCATTAGCAACTCACCCTCTCCCCTCCCCACAGCCCCTGGCAACCATCATTCTACTTTCTGTCTCTATGAATTTGGCTACTTTAGTTAACCTCATACAAGTGGAATCATACTGTATGTCTTTTTGTGGACTGGCTTATTTTACTTAGTATAATGTTCTCAAATTTCATTCCTGTTGTAGCATGTATCAGAATTTCTTTCCTTTTGAAGTCTGAATAATATTCCAGTGTATGTCTATACAAAGTTAATATATCATCCATGGATGGACACAGGTTGCTTTCACCTTTTGACTATTGTGAATAATGGTGCTATGAACATGGGTATACAATATCTGTTTGAATCCCTGCTTTCAATTCTTTTGGGTATATACCCAGAGGTGGGGATTGCTGGGTCATATAGTAATTGTATGTTTAATTTTTTTAGGGATCACTATACTGTTTGAAGACATTTAGCTTTATATAGATTTTTGGAAAAGCAACTACCGCACTGTCCTAATTTTTCTTGTACCACTATGAATATTTCATCACAGACAGGCATTGGTCTGTAGATCAATGCCTAGAATTACTGCTCCAACACATACAAATTTCTTCCTGCTCTAACAGGTACAAATTGATACTCTGGATTCTTTATATTTTGTCTGACTAGAAAGACAATTATTTTAAATCATAAAATATCCATTAAGGTGGCGCCTGGGTGGCTCCGTTGGTTGATGTCTGACTTCGGCTCAGTCATGACCTTGGGGTCTTGGGATCAAGCTTCACTGGGTGGGGAGTCTGCTTGTCCCTATCCATCTCCTTCTGCCCCTCCCACTGCTCATGCTCTTTCTCTCAAATAAATAAATAAATAAATCAAATCTTTAAAAAAATACATCCATTAAGTAGTTTAGAAAATTATACAAAAGCCATTAACCTGATTACACTAAATGTGAAAAACAAGACAGTTTCTATTATTCAATTTATTAAGCCATCACCATTTCAAATTTGACTGTAAGTCACATTCATTCTAATACTGGTCATTGAAGGTAACAGACACTTGCTCTTCCCCTGCCTGATAATGAGTTTACAAAATCTTATAGGAGATGGCCTGGCTTTCCAAAACTCTTATTTTTCTAAAGTCTGTGTGTATCAAACTAAGTAAATTTTCTGTATGGTGGGGCTTTAAAAATTTTTTTTAGGAGTGGTACGTTTTAAGTTCTTTGTGATCTACAGAGGAAACTCTTTTCCTACTGAAACTCATGAGTTATTATCAAATAATTTTAATTCAGCAGAAAAAAATCCTACTGTATTAAAATGAAATCCTAATCATGGCTGTCATTCTCCTCATTAATACTGGTCTTGGCAGTATTTTTCAGTTCTTAACCCAATCTTTGGTGGGGGATGGGGATGAAGAAATAACATTTATTAGTAGTATGCCATCTGTTAAAAAGATATACTGGAGAAACCAGATAGATGTACATCTGAACACTTAATGGAAATGTTACGTTTTACTGAAGGAATTCAAGACCTTTTCTAATTCCTCCCTAGAATTTCAGTGAATCACAATTTCAGTGTATCGCAAATTCTAAAAAGTAACAAATCTTCTTTTCCAAACCTATGAACCTATGAATCTTTTGTTTGCACAAGTCGTATCTGAAGTTCCTTCCTACTTATTTTTTCCTTTGTTCCTTGCCTCACGGAAGCAACTGAATTCTGGTAATGCTTTTACCTATCATATTTTTGACAGTCAAAACTGAATCAGAAGATGCCTCTGGACTTTTTTTTTTTTTTGCCTTTTCTCTGCTAAATCTGTGTGTTTTAGTGCAGCACATTTTATTTTCCCATCTGCATAATTTGCTTGAAGCTTGATATTGATATGTCATAAAAGAAAATACTCTATCAGGTATGAAAAAACACATGTTGTTGTAAAATCTGATTATTTCATAA